TTAATAATAGAGATACAACTGAGCTGTTACAAGTCTGTGTGCCAGTAAGCCTTAACACGTTTGCATTGCACGCTTCTCAGTGTTTGATTTTTGTGTTGCAATAAGTTTGTAGATAATAGGAATTAACAGGAAAAGCAGTATCAAGACAAAAATTGGTGTTTTGTTATATTTGCTCTGACCACCTCCTCTTGCTGCAGTTTTCAGTCACCAACAGAAGTATTTCTGCACAAATACTTTGAAACAACAAAATCCTGTTTGTAGTTAATACTTGATTCCTTTTTTTTTTTTTTTTTTTTTTTTTTTTTTTTTTTTTTTTTTTTTTTTTTTTTTTTGTGAGGAGCAAGCTTTATTAAAAAAAAATTAGTTTTATGCTGAAAGATTGAGGAACCTCTTTGCTTTGCTTTTCAGTTCAACATATAATCCAGCTATAAGTTATCATAAGGGTTGTGAGAGGCTGCTATGGAATGGCACGAAGTTGGAAATGGAAAAGGAATTGGATAGAGAATTAGAAGCCCTTGGGTTTTTGTTCTTGGTTGGACTCTAAGGCTGTAAACCTGCTATGTGACCTTGAGCAGATCAGATTAGCCTGACTTTCCAAGGCATTTGCAGTCCTGAACTGGATCTATCCATTGGTCAGTTGCAAATTCCTCTAAGGTCTGAATGGTGCCTTAATAAGGTTCAGGCAGTTCATTAACAACACAGAGTGCTGCAGAATTCTCCAATGAAAAGTATTACAGGCAGTGTAATACAGGAACTATTATTAGGAAGTAACAATGTTATAAATTAGTAATAATATATTTAGGTTTACCCTACAATTTTGTACTTTACCCCAAAGCAAGATAAATCCTGAGACTCTTGGAAGATTTTCAGAGTACAGTGCAGCAGTTAAGGGTGTTTAGTACATTTCTGTTATATTAAAATGATTTTTCAGCCAGCATAGCAGCTTCTCAAGTCTAGTCTAGTTTTTGAAAAAAATGAAAGAAACAGCAGCCCAAGGTACTATTTACTTAATTAGTCCTTTCTGCAGCACAAATTTGTTTCAGAACTACATTTCTGCTTAATAAGTATCATATCTGCTGATGTTCCTTATGTTACTAAGCAGCAGCCACACTACCAAATAATAGGGAAAAATGGCAATAAGACACTGTAATTCTGGTCATGTGTCATGGGGTTAGTTTTATAAGAATACTTTCAGATTCTTTATTGGTGCAGTGCACCAATGTAAAATATATTGTTTTCATTATAAAAAGCAGTTAATATCTTCTAAAAATGTAATTGCATAAAGACATAAAAGCAACACAAAAATTATTCTAATAACTTTCCAATTATATATGATAAATCTTCTTTAAAACCTTTACATTTATGTAGCAATTATAACCTAACCACAGGATCTAATGTCTTAGAACTTCATTGAAATCAATCAAATGTCTTAGGCCAAGGCTAAAATGTTGCTCTGATAGAATTGCTCCCAAAGGCAATTTTGATCTATTTAGGAACCAATTTTACAGAACATTTTTTATTTGATTTTTTCTGTAGTATTTCCTGGGTAAAGTTTTTTCCCAGCAATGATTCTATGAAATTTTTAAAACAACTAATTAATTTGAAAACTGATTAAAATGGTTGATAAATGTTTAATTTTTTTTTCAAACAATACTCCAGTCCACAGAATATGCAGAATTCCTTCTGCTACTTGCTACCTGAATGTGTCTTACAGAGAACTGCTGATTCCAGATGGTAAATTAAGCAGACTCTCACTCACATCAGAAGTGAACCTGAGAGTATTTTGGAATATCAATCTTTCCTCAGTGATAAGTATGGTTTTTTCATTCAGCTTACAGTCTTCTTTGGGTATCAGTATTTGCACCTGATTCTTAGGTGTGTGAAACTAGAAAACTCAATTAGGGATGAAATAATGTTAGTGTGTTTGAATCTTCTAAAGAAAATCAAAAAGTCAGTGTGAGAATTTTTTCACCTGTCACCAGATCTAGGAAGATCACATCTCTGTCTATACAAGTGCAGAGTTCCAGTATGAAATAATTGGGTTTTTTTACTCTGGTTTTAGTTTATTTCAGAGAAATTCCTGCTTTTCCTCTCTTCCTTTCTATTTTTTTCAATTTAAGCTATTAACCTAGTTAGTTTCAGGAATACTAATTCTCAAGAAATCGAAAAATAGTTTTCTTTCAAGTTAAGTAAAATTGCCTAAAATACCTGTCTAGAATCAGTTCATGAAGCTGTTTCAAAATGGGATAGTTCCAGAATTTAAATCAGATAATGAATTTTATGTTTCCACCTTGGTATTTATAAGTAATCCCTTGCTTGGCAGACATTCAGACAGGTCTTCCCTTAGTCCAAAGTACTTGTAATCTAATGTATATATGTGTAAGTGAATTTATAATGTATAACATGCTGTATTATCATGAAAGAGGTAAATTGAGAAAACCTGTAAGATTTTTATAAAAACAATTCCTCAGTCTTCCTGGAAGAATTTTAATTTAACAATGAAGATTAATAGAATGCAAACTAACACTGGGATTTCAGAGCAGGTTAAAAGAATGCTCAACTGCTCCCTTGGCCCCTGCTCCCAAATCCCAGCCTGCTGGCATCGCAGGTCTGGAAAGATGCCATACTGTCATATGTTGCTACTTCTGAAACCATCTTAGGCATTGCTGTGCCTTTCCTCAGATTAAACTATTAAGGAACCTTGTGAATTGTGAAAAATTTGGCATGAAATTCTTAAAGCAGAGTCCATTCTTTGAAAGCTGGCATTCCAGGAATCATCTGGGATGCGACACTTCACATTTCGTGCTGTGCATCCTAAGGATCTTTCCAAAACCAGCATTAGCTGCCATTATTGTAAAATGCATTTTAGTCCCTCAGCAGCACTGAACAGCATGGTTACCACTCCCCAAGCTTGCCATCCAAAGGAATAGTAGCTATAAATGATTTTGGTATAAACATACCTGTTCTTCCCTCCTGTGACGGCCATAGAAATTCTTGCATTCTTTGCTCTTGGGAACTTCAAACAAAACTTCTGAGTGAAGTCCCTAGTGGAAAAAATTGTTATCTTTAAAATGACACCTCCTTTCAAGTTCCTAAAGAACAGCATTCCACTCAGTCCTTACAAAGCAAATTTGTACTTAGGCTTCTCCAATATTTAGTAATTGTATACTCACTCTTCCTGGTTGAAACTATGCTCTTTTTGAAGAAGCAGTTGCCCTTTAAGTCTTGCTCAGACATAACAGGGATTGTTCTCTGCAGATTTCTTCACTAAAGGTCACAGTTTATTTTTTAAATGACAATTTTAGGGTTAATATTTGCTATATAACTGTGAGTTTAGTGCTCATTGAGGCTGACTGCAATCATTCCCTAGATATCCAAGAAGCTGGAGAAGATTTCAATAAAATTTAGAAAATAGATTTAATGAATCTGCTGCATTGCCTAGACTGTTATTATAAAAAAATTAAAATCTTTAAACCAGTAAAGTAAGACTCAAAGTAAACAATTTTTAAATAGAAATACTGAATGCTCCTCAGTGCCATGACAAATGAGAATTGTCTGTGTTTTCTAAGGTTGTTCTAACAGATGACATGTGACCAATATGTTCAGAAAAAGGAGACAGTGAACACTGGGGAAGGAGCTAAGGTGGTAGAATTTCTGAGACTACTTTAAAATATGACCCCTAATTCAAAATTATTCCAAAAATGGTTATTGTTTATTAAAAGACTGCTGCTTCACTGTACAAAAAAACCCCAAACCCCTTTCTGCATGCTGCATTTTAAACAAAACAAGAATGTAGATATATCCCACAAATCTTTAAATCACGTAATTGCTCAAACATGGAGTCAAACTCAAGAATCCTTTCAATGGGAATTTGTCCTATAGGATTTTCAGAGTTAAAAACAGGCAATTCAAACACAGTGATTGAAGTGCAGGTGTTGCATTGATCTGAATTTTTTATGACTGTGGTTGTGATGGGAGATTCATAAGCGATCTCTTTCAAATGTACAAAAGTTACCCAGGAGATTTCAAATGTTAGTAACACAGTTACATAGATGGTTTTTTTCACTTACATCTCCACATGCACATACCTGCCAGCCTGAAGTTTTTGCAAATTTTAAAGATATTTAACATTCTCCACTTCTTAAAATGACCATAAGCAATGTGGATTAAGTAAAAGAAGCTGTTCAGCCTCAAGCAGACTTGCCTCCCTGCAGAAATCTCTCAGTGACCAGAAAGCATCTGGATGTGTCTTATACAGAGCTTTGGAGGAACTGCAGAATATTATCTGAAGATCTGATTTTGCCAAGACTTTTCCAACACCCATATGACTGTGCAGCACAACACTTGGATAGTTACAGAGAATCCATCCACCCTGCATCATTTCTTTTTCCCACGCTGATCCCACTTAGCCACTTTACTTTTGTTTGACACAGTTTTCTGCTCTAATAGTCTCAGATTTCAAAATTTGCCTCTGTCTATGTTTTGTTTTTTTGTGTCTAAGTAAACAGAATTATTTTTGTATGATTCATAGCTCACTAAAACCCAGATGGTGGCACCATCATCCAGGTCTGTTATTTATATATTTAACTATTCTAGCAGGAAATTTGAGGGAAGGTGCTGACATTCAAATATTATTTGGAATTATTGTTATCATATGGGATATGGTATTTATAACAAGAGAAGTATATGGAAGATAATTAGGAAAATCAAAGCAAGCAATAGATGGTCAGGATTTAAAATCAGGTAAACAATTCTAATCTGCTTAGAGGAAATAAAAGTTGCTGAAAGGTTAGCATCCATCATTGGTCATTCATGATAAGGAGAAAAAAGCCCCAACACATGGGACTTTTCTGTCCTGATATAAACTGAGGGGAAACAAATAATTTCCCTATTAATTTCCTATTGGGATCACAGATTAGCTTTGTGAATTGAATTGGGAGCTGAGTTTTTTAACTGATGATGTGTTTAACATCACTTATTTTTCTTATTTTATTTTGCAGATGCTTCAGAAGCTTGCTGTGTGCTTACCACGGGTTCTGCCAACCATCTCGAGAGGGGACTCACCAATTCTTTCATTAATTGAGCAAAACATTATCTTGAAATAATTATTCCTCTCCACATGGCCTTCCTACTTGTGTCAGCTTATCTTCTGCTGACTCATGCTCGGGGTGCTCCTGTCGAGAATGGGGCACTGTTGGAAACACTGAAGTCACAAGTGGGATTATTCAGCAATAAAAGTGAGCACTATTCAGCACAGGTGAGACCTCCTGGCACCAGCCGACAAATACCTCAGACAATCATCATAGGAGTTCGTAAAGGAGGGACCAGAGCTTTGCTGGAAATGTTGGATATTCATCCTAATATTGTGGTGGCAGCTACAGAAGTCCACTTCTTTGACTGGGATGAAAATTATGTGAAAGGAATAGACTGGTATAGAAATCTGATGCCATTTTCTTATGGAAATCAAATTACAATTGAGAAAACACCAGGCTATTTTACATCACCACAGGCTCCAGGAAGAATTCATGACATGAATAGCTCCATTAAACTGCTGCTCATTCTAAGAGATCCCACTGAGAGAGTTATATCTGACTATACCCAAGTGTATTACAACAGAGTAGAAAGTCACAAGCCTGTTCAGCTCTTTGAAGATATTGTTATTAAGAATGGAGTGCTTAATACCAAATACAAAGCTATTCAGAGAAGTCTATATGATGTCCATATGGAAAAGTGGCTTAAGCATTTCAGTTTGGATCAGATTCACATAGTGGATGGCAATACTTTGATCAAGGACCCTCTTCCTGAGTTACAAAAAGTTGAAAGATTTCTAAATCTTCCATCCCGAATTATGTCTTCTAATTTTTATTTTAACCAAACCAAGGGATTCTACTGCATCAGAAGTGATGGGAGGGAGAGATGTTTACATGAATCCAAAGGGCGTCCCCATCCTCTTGTTAACAGCACTGTTTTAGAGCAACTGTATTCCTACTTCAGAGAGCACAATGCAAAATTTTACAGGATGGTTAATCATTCCTTTGACTGGCATTAACACATTTGGGGTCAATGTTTCTTAAAAAGAGCCTGAGACAAACTTTCAGACATAGCTTTCTAAACTGTAAAGACTTGTATTATGAGAATTAACACGCTGGTTATATGGTTCATTGGAACAACACATCTGTTGACTCATTTCCTTCTCTTGGGAAAAATAAGTTTTATGTATTTGTATGATTACTGGGATTCATATTCTGATCTTTTTCTCACATGCAAATACATTAACTTCAGCAAACTTAGCAAAGGTGTATCTCTACAAGATTTCTGCTGTTTTGGAAAAATGCATCTAACTGTAAAAAATGTAAATATTGGAAATAGTATTATTCTAACTGTTCTGTATTTTTTGTTGTTAGTATTTTTTATATCCCACATGATAGTGGTGTTGATTTATAGAATTTTTCATAAAATAAGTCTAAATTGTATGTTAAAATAGGGGTATACATACTAACTCCAATAAATAAATCATCATCTTTAATATGCTGAAGTACTTAATTAATAATAGAATCTATTTCACCTGTAATTTTGAATAGGTGAAATAGAAGCTACCTGTCTGTATAACATGAGTATTAAAACACACTCTTACTATCTTGTATTTTCAAAAAATCTCCAAAGTAAAAATATAAACTGTTTGAAGAAGGTTAAAGTGAGGGTTCTGAATGTAAAGAAACTAAAATATCCCAGGAACACTAATACTCTATACACTAAAATAAAAATCAATGCCAAAAATATTAACTATTAATGAGCAACTGTAAAAATATTTGATTGCATAAAATATGTGACTTTGCTTTGAATGGAAAAGCTCTTAGTACTACCATATGAATTAGGTTTGTACTCCGTGACTAGTTATTCTATTGTTCTCCTGACTTTGGTTTATATACCTCTATTGGCACAACAGTTCTTGTTAACAACAACAAAAAAAATTATTTGCTTGGCCCCTGAAGCATGGTGTAGTTTTATTTTGCCATTTCTGATGCAGACCATGGGATAGTCTCAACATTAAAAAAAAACCTCTTGTTGTGTTACATATCTCAGACACAGTGTTCAGTACAACATCAGGTTATATGTAAGAACCACAACCATTTCTAGCTCTGAATCAGCATTTTATTTTCAATATTTTTACAGTATTGTGCTAATTTTTCTGCTTTTTCATGTAAACATTTTATTACATATCAAAACCAAAGAAGAAAATCAACTCTGAGCATCAAACCCAATGAAGGTCCTGCATCTCTGTCCTTCTGCCTAGTCACTGCCCAGCCTAAGGGAGTGTATGTTCCTACCATGGGATTCTTCCACTTTCAAGGCTAACAGGTTTGTATTGCAGGGCTGATTTTTAGGCTTTTAATACTTTATGAGTGGGCTACTTAGGCAAGTAGCAGTATTCCTCTGAAGCTGGATAGAATCAGACTCAGATTATGTAGAAACAGCTTTCATCAAATATTCTCTCAAAAAATCTAAAATGTTAAAAATAATAGAATGAATCTTATTCTTCAGCTGTTCTACTACTTGTATATGTATGTATGAGATAAAATATGCTGTACGTACGAGAGCAAATTATTCTCATTAGCATATAATTAATCTCTGAAATTACCTTTCTGAAGTATATTTACTACATCCCTGATTTCTACAGATGGTGCAAATTGTCTTTTATTCTTCTACTTTTCTGAGGTTGTGGCTTCTTAATCATTAGTATTGATCAGACGTAGGCACTAAGAAATACAATGTCAAATAAGAATCTGTGGAAATACAAAAATTTTTTTTTTCAAATTAGTCAAAGAACAGAATGTCTGTGCTGGTCTTCTACCATCTTTACAAGGACATTGGATAGGAAAACTGTAATAACTACAGTTGTGTAGTCTAAAAAAATCCTCTTTGTCTTTTGTCAAGTAAAAAGCTAGACCAGAAAATGTCTGAACTCTGAATTTACAGTGTGATTCTATATCAGAATGACTCTTACTATTTTGTGGGCACAGCACTTTAGTCTGATGACAGAACACCCAAATCCAGATTCCCAATATTGTCTAGCATGGCTGGTTCTTTCTGACCAATGCAATCTCAGTAATAAACAAAACTCCTTCCAATTTCAGAAATACATTATCAAAGGGAGCAACATAAATGCAGCTTACATTGGACAAAAAGATATTACTTTCTGTTTCTTATACATTCTGAAAATCTATTTTTCCTTTTTTATTTTTTTCTTACAAGAAGCAAATTTGAAAACAATGTATATGTTAATAAAAGTTTCAGGTAGGGGCTAGTAATTGAAAAACTCATACATCTACATGCCACATTAAATTTCATAGTCTTCCAAGAAAAAGGAAAGGAGAAAATTCTAATGTCTTTCTATATTTATGCTTGCAGGCATCAAGTCTTTCTCTTTCTTCTCTGAAGTTTACAGCTGATCTTTAAATGAGCTGAATGCAGGAGCACCAGTTAGCAGAAGCTGTATGCATCTTTGAAAATGCAAGTCCCTTTCTGGAATTTACATTTCAAGGAGAGCTGAGCTGTATGGATTAGTGATGCATATATCTATTTGATTTGTTATCACTCCTCATTCCTGTTCAGCATTTTGGGAAAGAACAGAATGGATGGAATAAATGTAATATTATTTTAGATTTTACTAATATCATGAGATGTATATTAAGCATTAATAAATATATTAATATAATCTGGGTGAGGGGTTGCTTTGGCTTGGTGTGGTTTTATGTAAACCAAGATTCTCACCAGAAATTTTGTTTTGATAAATGGTCAAAAAACATGCACCTTAACCTCTGCAAAACAGAGGTTAGACTGTATTTTTACATTGCAAACTTTCAATCAGTTTCTCATTTGTGGTCTGAAAAATATTCTTTCATCTTTTCCAGACCTTTTCCGTTCTTTCAGTCTTTAAGAAAACCTTCCTTCCCTCATGCTTAGGAAGGGAATCAGATCAATTTAATATACAATTCACTGAACCATACTTGAGTAATAGTAAAATAAAAAGTAACTCAGTTTTTGACAATTGGAATTCAAAAGTAGTCAATTTTTTTTGGGATGACCTGAAGGCTTACAATCAGTATGCAGATGTTATTAATAAGACGGTTCGCAATTTAAGAAATACATACATCTCTTGAATTTAAACAATTGATAGTAAACCAGAAATTACTTTTCTCTAAAAGAAATTATCATCTCATTATCTGATACTCAAGTGTTGCTTGCAAAAGTAAATTTCATGTGGGAAGGTCACTTGAAGAAGTCATTAAGTTCTTTCAAAGATTTTTGGGAGCATCTGGAACAGATGATATAAGACCACTTAAGACTGCAGGACTATAAGATGCAAGACTACTGCAGAATTTATTATGGTTTGACCAGCTTTTGATGCTGTTTTACAATCCAGAAATGCTAAGCTTTCGCTTTAAATACTGTTTGTTTCCTTTTTTAGTAAAAATGCCATAGTTACCGTTTCATTGATCTAATATTACAGAGAATTAACCATATCAAGTAGCTGTAACTGGATCAGTTTAGCCACAATAAGCAGCACACATTTAATGTCTAGATGAGTCTAATATCACCTTTTTTTTTTTTTTTACTATATATATTATCTATAGCATATAAAGGAAATTACCGGGAAACTCAAAAGCTAGGATTTTGCCCCGAAAACTCCTAGTACTTAACTAATGAGAAAGAAACCAGGAAATTCCTCCATTGCACTCTAACACATTCTTTTACCAGGAAAAGGGTTGGATTTTTCCATTGTATCCCCTGTATCCAGGTGGACTCTGGCTTCTGGTCTTTCACAACTTAGCCTTCAAAACTCAGCCTTTTGAGTCCCTCTGAAAGGATCCCTGTTAAAACAGACATTTTTTTGTTGTGGAGAACTTTACAGAGGGTGCACACATCATTGCATTCTACTCCATATCAGCTCTTTCCTGTCCTCTCAATACAGAACTTATACTCCTGTGAAGATTATCTCTTGAAGGCCAATCAGATTGACTACTGTAGGGAAGCTTAGCCACATAAGGAGTTTTCTGCCTTCACGCAAATCAAAAAGAAATTTTAAAAATAAATTGTTTGTATCAAATTTGACTTCTTATTTCTTTTGCCAATTCAGATGTTTTCATGAGTTGGATAAAAAAATTAATATTTTTTAAATCCTTGTAATTTCTTGTTTAAACTATGTGGTCAAAACAAAAAATATGATGTATCAATTTACTTACACAGTTTAACTGAAAAAAATTACAAAAGAGAGACTTACCCCCAAAACTTTGATTCATAATAAAAATTGCACAATAGCTTTTCCCTCATGAGAAAAGAATATTTAAATTATTAAAGTATTATATTATTGTAGATTATTATTTTCCGTACTTGTGGATTTGGTCTTAATTTCTTTCAAAAGCTTGAATTTTGTCATAACTGTGTAGACACATTGGAAATAAAATCAGTAATAATTTGCCCAGAACATTAATCATTGCCAGCAGCTAATAAACAATATTTAGTTACTGGCCAAATAGTTTCCACTTTGATTATTTCAAGTTTCAATGTGACTTTATTAATTGTTTTGCTATTTTCTAAAACTAATTTAAAAGTTATAACCAATGGTGGCTAAAAAGACTCTGTAGTATCATTCTGTGATTACAGAGGAATTGTATTGTCTTGCCTTTAAGGTTAATTAACAGTGACATGAGCTTACCACAATTCCTGAAAACATTTTGGAAACCAAGACACTAACAGAACTGCAATGTATAAATTAGTCCTTGAGGGTGAATCTGCTACTTAAGGGAAATACAACACATTAAAACAGGCTGATAAAAATAATAATTTTCTGTGAAAATAGATGTGATGAAAAATACAGTCTCTCCTGTATTAGCCCATGTAACAAGTACTGTGAGGTCTAGTTTCTGATTCAATACAGTTTTACACTTTCACATTGTGTATTCTTTCGGAGCCATTACAAAAACCTCTCAGTAAGTGTTTAAAAATTACCTTCATGTAAGCTCTCAACCAGGTGTACAGCTTTTCTCTCAAAAACCATTTCTCTAGTATTATACTGTTTCCTCTGAGATAAAAAGGTGGTTTGAGTCACCCTGCAATAAAAGTAGAGAGTTATCATGCCAGAATTAATATTACTTCAATTTGCTACAGTTCTCAGTAAAAC